CATCCCAGAATGTTTGCACTTTTGTTTTGTTTTGTTTGCAATAGTGTTACACTGTTGACTCATATTTAGTTTGTGGGCCACTATGACCTCCAAATCCCTTTCCACAGTACTCCTTCCTAAGCAGTCATTTCCCATTTTGTATGTGTGCAACTGACTGCTCCTTCCCAAGTGGAGTACTTTGCATTTGTCCGTATTGAATTTCATCCTATTTACTTCAGACCACTTCTCCAGCTTATCCAGATCATTTTGAATTATAATCCTATCCTCCAAAGTTAAGTCTTAACATTTTCCTGGTGTACCATCATCTTCTGAATCTCCTCCAGCATAGAGGAGAAAGAGGAAGGGGTGGGTATAGCTTCTACTTTTAAAACTAATGGATCAGGTCTAGCTGAGATTTGCATGATATTCTTAATGTACCAGTACGTTTACTGGAGATTCTAATCACTCTGAGTGTGCATATTGTACACAAACCATATTGGAAGTGTGTATACGTTATATTTATCAATAACAAGGATTTTCACCACACAATCTCATACAAGGTGCTGAAGGAGTTAGCACTGAGCTCTCTATATGGCTTTTTAAAAGTCCTGTATTGCCCAGATCAAATATTTTGCAATATATGGTGTCAGTGAGATGTAGTGCATTGACTAGGTAGTTAGTGCTACAAGCTTTGATTTAAAAGCAACTATATTAAAAATGAATTTAGTGTTCGTGAAAAGTGCCAGGTTAACAACCTGACATTCTCTATAGCTACAGATCAGATATACTGTTTAGTCCTGTGCTGTCCTAGAAGGACCACATGTAGGATAGAAAGTGTAGTTCAGTTTCCAATACTCTTGGCTCTTTGCTGAGAGTAATAAAGATGCCACTCCAGTAGGACCTGGGCAGAACACTTCAGCTAATTTCACAGATGCTACAGCACAGCTCTTGGTTGGACAGAATTTACGACCTCAAATAAACTGGCATTTCTAGTCCACTCAGTCCTGAATCACCTAATCCCCATATGAATAATTTTTAAAACTACATTAAAAATATTGGTTTTGCAAGATGTATATTATTAATATTTTTTTGCTTTTGTTATGGGAAGTCTAAAATAGTTTGTATGCTGGTGCTCCCTAGTGGTGAAGTTTGTATTAAATAACCTTGTATGAATTCTGTTAATGATTATGCAACCAATATGTTAATAATTAACAGGCATTTAAACCTCCTCAATAAGACATAAAGTTATTCAAGTGTATGTTTGTAAGCCTCAGGCCCTTTATAGCACTACAGATATGTTCTATAAAGCATTGTGTATAAGACATGAAGATTTACATGGCAATTGTTTCATCTCTCTTGTGTCGTAAATAATAACCTGATGACTTTCCGCTGATTTAGGAGAGTTTATTACATGAGAATCCCATTTCTTTTCCTTATTCAGTATTACACACATGCATTAAGAATGTTTTCTGTTTTTAAAAAAATCTCTCTGGATATGCCTTTTGTAGAAAGGCTTGCCAGTGACCTAGCAATATTCTGTCAAAAGCTGAGTTCAGTGGCTCACTACAAATTGTTGTCATGGTAGTCCAGAAAAGTACATAATTAGAGAGTGACCAAAAGATCTTAATGTCAGTTCTTATTTTATTTAAACTTTGCTTATCCCTTGAACTGAGCACTATTAAATCAAGAAATAATTGAGAGAGGAGGCAAAGCTTAGAGAATAGGGTACTCTAATTTATAACAAGCAACAGAGGGTCTTGTGGCACCTTTAAGACTAACAGAAGTATTGGGAGCATAAGCTTTCGTGGGTAAGAACCTCACTTCTTCCGATGCAAGACATTCGGGTCTTGAACAAGCAAGCCTCACTGA